CACACCGGGACGAATTTCGCGCGATATTCGCCGACGGTTAACGCCTCGTGACAAAACAAAGGGCGCCAATGTGAGTGTGCACACGGACACGAAAAACGCCACGCGTAAAAGCGTCATTTAAAAAAAAAAACGCCTCAGGTTCGTTTTTTTAGTTTGACGCGTTGCGTCAAAAACTATCCGACCAATGAGATTGGCGCTTTTGCTCACGTGTCTGGTGCTTCTGAAGTTACAGTAAAACACAACTTGGGGGCGCTCAAACACAAAACGGTCTTGCCGAGCACACATACGTAACGGCGAAGAAGATATACGCCAAGTAGCATCTACACTGCCGGAAAGAAATAAGACGAGGAAGATGCAAGGCAAGATGAATGTAGAGCTGCTGGTCTCGTTGGTGTCGGAGCATTAAGAACTATATGACAAACACGACAGCGACTACAAAAATCTTTATAAAAGAGAATGTTATGGAGTGGTATTGCAGAGCAAATGGGCGCCATCTAATGTCAGGGAATGAATTTGCATGTTCACTCGGCTCATCGTCAGTGAAAATCGCTTGTGTGTGAACACAAAAAACGCGTTGAAAAACGCTGCCGAATAACGCGCGCCGATATTCGTCCCGGTGTGTACGAGCCTTTATAGATAATTCTATCGAACCAGCAACCATTTTAAAAACGGAGTAATTGACTCAAATTTCTTGGCTGATTTGAGCGTTCTCGCCAGCATTCTGTTTTTTTTTTTTTAAGATGTGCCAATGCTTTGTTAATTCCAAAGTAAAGAGTTTCAGTCGTGAGTACAATGCTCTTGCTCACAGTCTGCGGTGGCGATCTCAAGGAAGCTTACTTTCATATAAGCATCTATACTGCGCACAGGAAATATATCAGTTTTTCCTTTCAGAGCGAAGTGTACACATTTTTTACTCTTCCATTCGGGCTCAGCCTAACTCTGCACGGGTTCAGCTTGTGCATAGAGGCAGCTTTATCAGTGCTGAGACACAATGGGCTCAGAATATCTGCTTATCTGGACGCCTATCTTATATGCGCTCACTCACGGGAGTGTGCGGAATGGGACAACGAGATGCTCACTTCTCATTTCACAAATCTGGGGTCCAGAATCATCTACGCCAAAAGCCAGCTGATTCCATCTCAGGAGAGACCGCGGCATACCGCGCTATGCTCTTGGAAAGAATGATAATGGCGTTTTGTCAGTGCCTAGCCCAGTTTCGCAGGGGAACCTTGGTATTGTTCAGGACCTGACTCTTTTGGGCATGATGGCTTTTTCGCTGTCTGTGGTCCCGATGGGCAGAGCCGGACAGTAACGGAGTACATTTACTTGAGTACAGTACTTAAGTACAATTTTGAGGGATCTGTACTTTACTCGAGTATCATTTTTGGGGAGTACTCATGACTTTACTCAAGTACATTTGAGAGGCAAATATTGTACTCTTTACTCCAATACATTTCTATCCATAACCGTGAGTACCCGAGTAAAAAAAAAAAAGAAAAATCTCGGACACCCTCAATTTGTTGTTTCCCTCTCAAACGTGATTGGATTGTGCAGGCACACTGATTGGGACAGCCTATCAGCAATCACTTTCAGCTTTCCGCCAAAGTCAACTCCATGGTCAGATTTTATATTACACATTAATGTAAGCCAAGCATTTGGTTTGATGTTCTTGAGTATGTGGTGTGTTTAACACAGATGTGGCAGTGGTGTAGCCACGAGGGATTTCTGATTTCTTAAAAAAAAAACTTTAGGAGGCAAAATATATTTTTACTGATTATGTGAATTACACTGCGAAAACCAAAGTAGGCTACTACCCAGCGAATAAAGAAGGGTTGGCGCTCAGTCTCCACAGTACATAAAATATTAATTTTGTTTTATTTTATTTTTCGGGTTTGCATTTATGAGGAAAAAACAATGTTATGGATGTGTTCTCCGTTACGGACGTGAGCGCTCTGAAAGCGGCATAAAAAATGCTTTAAAGGGTCACTTCACCCATTTGCATTAAGGTTTGTATTGTTAGAAACCCAGTCATATATTATAATGATGGTGGAATTTTGCTTGTTTTTTTTCTGAGATGGGAGAAAAAAGGAATTAAGTGTTTTACTTCCGTCCTATCGTGACGTAAATATCGTCATTTTGCGTCACGATAGGACGGAAGATAAATTTCATTGCATATTAAGAAAACTACAGCCTTTAGCTCATTATTATTCAAGGGCGTGGGACCCACTCACCCCACCGGCCTATTACAGATCACTGGGTGGGACTAAACCTGAAGAAACTAAACTATTAATCCGCCATCTTGCTTGGAAGACAGCAAGCTAAGCTAACAAGCGCTCAAGGAGTTAGATTTACCATAATGCCTGAATTTACGACACACGATATGGAAGACGAGGATTTTGAAAATCTTTTGCTCGAAACTGATGTTCGTGGCTATTTATACGAGCCACAATATAGTGAAGAGCAGCTGAGGCTGATGGAGGAACAAGAGGCGGCGGCGGCTGCGGCAGCGGCCGCCACAGGAGACCAGCCCGGCGCAGACGAGAAGCCCGGGCTTGCTCGCGCTGTAGCGAATTGGTGGTGCTCGTGCTGTAACTGTGCGCCTATGGACACCGAGCTAGAGTCTGTCTGCTGCAAAGAATCTCTAAAATGCCAATTCATTCTAGAAGAAATGTCAGAGGCAGACACGGACATGGAGTTTTGTGCACACGGACGTTTGTGTTGTGATGTGAACCATCCTAGTGTCGCACCCCATATGCAGATTCCAGGTATCATGCAATAATTCACCATATAGAAAGAAATACAAACGAGGAGTAGCTGCTAATTCGCTAATGAGTTTGCCAATGTAACGGGGTTCGTTGTTGTGGGAAGAATGAGACGGGAATCGGCGAACATTTAAACATTTTAATAGTAAAATAAACAAATACAAAACAAAAGTATAAGCCAGCAGCCCCGCACTGCTGGCCACACACAACAGAAACAAAACACACCATAAAATCAGGCCTGTTCCTCTCTCGATCTGCCCTGTCGCTCCTCGTTTTATGCGTCCGCTCCTCGGTGAGAGACGCGAGAGAGACCAGTGCGTCTCACAGGTGTCGTTCATTATCACTCACGCCACCGGCCTCGCGCCGCTCTCACGTCCCTCGTCCTGCTCGCCACAGCCAACTAACTATACATTTTGTGTGAAATGAATTTCTAACTCTGTTGGCAGCTAACGTTAGCCCCGTAGAGTAGACGGAAAAGTGATTTCTCTGATGTTTGCGACTTTGCGCTGTTCTAGATTAGTGGGAGTGGCTTGCGGAGCTGTGCAACGTGGTGCATTCTGGGAGTTGTGGTCTTACACACAAATGCGCCCTAAAGTTATTTTCTGTCTTTTCTCGGTCAAGAGGGGACCAAATTCAAAATTTCTTTTACATTTCGACTACATATATGACTCACTTTCAATAAAGATTAATGTTGAAATGGGTGAAGTGCTCCTTTAAAACGTTCACAGAGACATCAAACAGAAAACACAAAACCTTTCTTTAACCTGAATTTTGTTTTGCATTAATTGTATCTTAATTTTAATCAATGTTTCATCAACCAATTGCCTGGGTTTAATAAATAAGAAGTAAATAGCAGACGATAGATAAGAAACGGAGGCGCCGGCCTGTGAACTGGATCTCGTCTCATAAATGAACCGAAACTCAGTGTATAAGGTAGCCTACTTGCCTCTCACAGACATGTCTACTTTTAAACAGAAAAATTCAAAACGAAAGAAAACAGACTACAGACTGCTCTCTGCTCATGTAATCCGTATGAAATGTGCATTTCTCTCTGGCGCGTTCACTACTGAAGATCGCGAGTCAGCATCGTCAACTTCATCTAGCCGACACTGACAAAGAAAACACCTGTTTATTTAACAAGTATTTATTAATAAACAATTAAAATATCTCCTTGCTATATTTTACATATTCATAATCATTCCTTTTGCCGGTTCTTTATGACAGCTTTTAGGTGCTTTATTGGCAGCGCCACCCTTACATGTGGTGTGTGTGTGTGTTGTCCCCGCATTTAAAATGGGACCCCCCAAAAAATTAATTAAATTAAATAAAGCAACATGGTAAAAAGATGAAAATGACTTGATTTTACTTTCAATTCCTTTTACATTCTCCAAGGTATTAACATTAACATTTTTCATAACTCCATGTAGGACGTTTCTGTGCATAAATGTAAGCACTGTGGCAGTAGATTAGTATGCAATATTTAGAAAATTTACTCTTGTACTCTTGATACTCAAGTACTTTTAAAAACAAGTACTTTAGTACTTTTACTTAAGTAGACATCTGAATGTAGTACTTTTACTTGTACTTGAGTAAAATTTAGCAAGGGGTATCTGTACTTTTACTCAAGTAACAAAGCTCTGTACTCTGTCCGCCTCTGCCGATGGGCTTGCTAACAATGAGAGACTTCCAGCGATGGGTAGCAGCGAGGCGTCTGTGTCCTCGTCTGCACCTCGTGCGCAGAGTGAGAATATCAAAATAGCTGTATTCCCTAATTGCTTTAAATTACTTGGATCCGCATCGCAAGTCAATCAGCAATTGACAAATTCGATTTCAAATTCTAGACATGCCCCTGTGTCTGTGTTTGCGGTGTCTCTTCATATTCTACACAGATTTTTGCCAGTAGAGATCCACTTTCCTGTAGAGTTTAGGTGTAAGAGGTTATTCATAACTACAACTTCTAGACTTGGAATTTTCGGAGAGCTCCGACTTGTACCACATGATCGCTGTACCACCTGACCCTTGTCGTTGATAGTGTTGCCATAGAAACACTCAATCATCTTCTAATTATGTCATCTGGCGTGAACGCAGCTCCACTCCTCCAAACCTAATCAAACACACCTGAACAAGCTAATCAAGGTCTTCAAGATTAGGCTAGAAAGCTACACGCAGGTGAGTTTCATCAGGGTTGCAGTTACCCAGACTTCCTTGGATCTATAAATCTTTAGACAGCAATTTATTTTAAGGGATTCAGCAGCGCATCTTTTCAGTGTAGTTTTGTGTGCCTCACTGTCCCCCCTGGCTGACTAATTCAGTGCATCTTCTAGCAGAGTTGATTGTTGTGAGATCGCAGGTCGAGAGGATGACATCTCGAGTGTACTGCTCGTTGAGTGTTGTTTTATTGTGTCTGTCTGCATGTTTGAGCACAAACCATGCTGGAGTCGTAGGTGAGAAGATATTTTAGCTTCATTACACAGCCCGAATAAATGCATAAATAAGTTCCTTACAAAATATGATGTACAGTACAATTAGTTGTAAAAGTAAAGTTATGAACAAATTAACTGGATATCTTCTATCTGCATTGTGCTTCTATAACACACCTCACTAATAGTGGGGTAGGTTGTAACGGCACTCTGTCTTGAAACTAATCGCAATTTAGTTATAAATGGTATTTCTACTTGATTTGAAGCAGATAAATACACAAATATTTTTGAGACACACATTGCAAAACACCTGACTTAAAAATACAGAAAATATTACAACAACACTCCTGTAGTGTCTGGTAAAGCTGACGGTCGGGCCGTGGAGGATGTACTTGTGATCGAGACTGCTCTGGAGGACAATGTTAACTAAATGTGAAGCTATAAAGTAAAAAGACTGAACTAGTATTTTCTTTTAAAACCTATTCTGATATTTGACCACTTTTTTTCATATCACTGAATGCTGAAAGCCTCATTTACTGTATGTTTCTGTTATGTGTCTGTATCACAGCAAAGCCGGGACAGTGTCCAAGCACAAAATCTGGTGGAGGAAAGTGCTGAGTTGTGTTCCTATGACCGTGATTGTCCCAACAATGAGAAATGTTGCAGCAATGGATGTGGACGTCAGTGTATTGATCCATATACAGGTATTTATGTACTATTAGTGTTTGAGTCGGCTTTCTCGTTATATCAGTTGGTCTTATTTTATCGTTATGTGTCAAAAGTATTGAGCCGATAGCACCGTTTCAAGCAAAGGATTGCTTTACAAATTTAATAGATGAATAATACTTAAAATAAAATTCTTTCTGTAAGTAAAACTTACTGTTCATGCTTTGTGTGTTATGTGCTGTACATCTAAGACCTAAATGTTACTAAACGGACTGACTAAAGCTGACTATCTGAATCTCTGCAGTGAAGTCGGCAGCTGAACCGGCAAAGCCTGCAGTTTGTGCTGAAAACTGTCAAAAAACTCACCCTGATGCCCAATGTTTTGGCCCTAAGGGGGGTCCTCCAGAGCCTGTAGTGATGCCTGCGGCCGAACCAGTGAAGCCTGCAGTATGTGCTGAAAACTGTCAAAAAACTCACCCTAATGCCCAATGTTCTGGCCCCAAGAGGGGCCCTCCAGAGCCTGTAGTGATGCCTGTGGCCGAACCACCAAAGCCTCCAGTGAAGCCTGTGGCCGAACCAGCAAAGCCTCCAGTGAAGCCTGTGGCCGAACCAGCAAAGCCTCCAGTGAAGCCTGTGGCCGAACCAGCAAAGCCTCCAGTGAAGCCTGTGGCCGAACCAGCAAAGCCTCCAGTGAAGCCTGTGGCCGAACCAGCAAAGCCTCCAGTGAAGCCTGTGGCCGAACCAGCAAAGCCTGCAGTATGTGCTGAAAACTGTAAAAAAAACTCACCCTGATGCCCAATGTCCTGGTTTTAAGGGGGGTCCTCCTGGACATAAAGAAAGTGGCCATGCATGCAGTTAACAGTGTTGATTTTTACCAGTGATGTTTTCCCTGTTTAACAAATAAAAATAAAAAAGATAAACAAATTAATTTGCCTGAAGAGTTTCATTTATATAGCACATTTAATGCAACAGCTGTTGCCCAAAGTGCTTCACAATAACTAAACCCAAATAAGATTACAGAGAAAAAAAAAGACAAGGTAATGATCAAACACCCATCATATGAAGATGCCCAGGAAGTCTTTAAAAGATGTGCTTTTAACATGGCCTTACATTTCAATAGTCACTTTACTGACCTTACATAAATAGGGAGGTCATTCCAAAGTTTGGTTCTGACATGGGGAAAATTATTTGTCGCCCTTATGTTTGTATTTTGTTTTGACAACACAGAAGACTTTTCTTTACGGATCTCAAAGATCTAGATGGATTCTACAGTTTCCAGCATACTAGAAAGATAAGTGGCAAAATTGTGTAACACCTTAAAAACAATCTTATAGATAATTCTATCAAACCAGCAGCTATTTTAAAAACTGAGTAATTGACTCAAATTTCTTGGCTGATTTGAGAATTCTCGCCACATCTTATTTTTTTAAGATGTGCCAATGCTTTGTTAATTCCAAAGTAAATAGTTACAGTCGTGTGTAGCGTCTGGAGTGGACCAATCAAACACACAAATTATTCATATGTAATGAATCCAGCAAACTCACTCTCCCATCAAAGGTCTGTGGAACTTCACCCCAAAACTAACATCACAAATGAAGTCTACCCACTGGCAGAACCTGGTGTCCTGTTACAGGACACATTAATACTGATACGTTTTACAACCCCAAAGGAATTTTCAGAGTTGTGACTCTCACTTAATTCTTGAGAAGGAGAAATTAACCCTGTTAATCCTATATATTCTATATATATCCACTTGAGAAATGCATAAACATGTATCTAATTTTCTCGTCTCATGATTTTCCTTTATGTTGTTTGGTTAATGTTTCAGACTTTGCATACTATGGTTAACCAAAATCATATGTGTGGCATGTTTGGTCTCTATAAACTCCAATCTTCGTCCCCCATTTGTTAATTTACATTACGTTTTGCTAACTTTATACCGCATTAGAATTATACGAATTTTGAAGATTATTTTCTTAAAAACCCAATGAAATTAAACATTCAAATGCCCTGCTAGAACACAATGGGTCGTAAAAACTCCCTCCAAAGGGAACACTTCTTATTGGCTCACACACCTCCAGAGGGTCTGACATCTTCACGCTTTAAAAATCACTGATCACAAGATTAGCTGCTCTTGCTCTTAGCACTCTTAGCTTGCTTAACCTCTTGCTCTCTTACTCTCTTGGCTTGGTCCTTCCTGAGAAGTCCTAATGTGAAGATGATGCTGAACTAGAAGTCTCCCAAGGACCCCCAAGCTTGCGCCAGGCTGCGGCCTTGTTTTTCCATTCACCAAAGATCCTCAGACTCCCACTGGTTCTCTCTCATCAAGACCACATCAGCAAAGATCAACTGGAGCCTCAACAAATTGCATCAGGACAGTTTCATTCAAATGGACGAGACGTGCAAGTATCAAACTTAGTCTCATTATTTGATACATTAAGTATCCTTACCCCTTTTAAGAAGGGCATGCTAGAACTAAACTGGTGGTTTGCTCAGGCTGTTGATCTGCTGAACATCAAACAACGCTATAACTTCTTGCTTTCCTGTATTCTGCTTCAGCTCTCTTTCCCTTAGTAAACTTAATGTAACTAGACTAAGTTTAAATGTTTAGTCTAGTTAATAAAGTCTTGTTCATATCACACGTAAAGTTGTCCGTGTCTCAAGGTCATATCTGGAGTCACTAATCATAGATTTCTGGCTACAGGCTCTGAATAGTACTCTACAGTAAGAAAGACATTGCCCATGCCCTGGAAATGTAAATATCTTAGAATTAATAACCAATATTGAGTGTTCACACGTTGAACCGAGTAATTGGTTGTCATGTTAATGTAGCTACATCAAGTTAACCCGATTAACTGATCCAAATATTCATAATCAATTTTAACAAGTTTTATTAACAAGCTAATTTGCTACACAAAGAAAAATTTGATCAGAAAAATGGTTGGAGATTATGACATCTGGTTCCAAGCCTCTCACTTTAAGCTACACCAGCCAGCCTCAACAACCCCACACAGCATGAAATGAAGTGAGGGATCAAGGGCGTGTACTAGTAACGGACCTCCCTCACCAATGAGGGAAAGCCCATTGCAACGGATCACAAAGAGTCACCCTGGTGAAGATAGAAGGTGTGTTCGACTTCATGCAGCTCTGCGCATACCGATCGGCGGCTGACCTGAAGCTGTGCATGCCGGTAAGAAATTTTGTCCGACTTGATGCAGCGCCGACGCCACATGACTGTGACGTACGCCATCAAAGTACCGCGAGAGTGTTTCGAGAGTAGCCGGAGGACTCAGCCAGCGCAGCTTCTCAAGAGCGGCTGCACAAGCTCTAATGACGACACAACTGTTCCACGATTGTCCGGATTCACCTCATGACAACGATCACGTGCGTTTCGTGTTTATTCTCACACCTTTAGTTCCACTAAAGCTCACAAATCAGTTTTTTATAACAGTAAACAGTCTTTTCATGTAAGCCGCGATGTTATATTGTGTCATGTTTATCAAAATAAAACTGATTAAAAAACTTTGACTCCACTTCATTGATATAGGCTTATTTTGAACTTTATTCTTGTTCAAACAGATGCTGTATGAAGCAGTAAAGTATTGAATGAAAATGTGTCTGAAATATGTTTATTTGGCAAATATAGCACTTATTTCACTTCAGCTGTGGTAAAGTATGCAAACACCACGTGAGCGGTCACTACGGGAACCAGAAATTGTCCGACTTCACGTCTCCGTTTGCAGCTCCTCCCCGCGGCAACTCTCGCCAATCGGTTACATCCAGCCGCAGCCGATGTTGAACACACCTAGAATGTCCATGGGGCGAACGAGATGATCAACACACCTGGTAGAAGATGTGAACTAACTAATGGTTTAAGTTTAGCAGGAATCTGCATTATAGGTCTATATACAAGGACAGGGAATACAGGACTGGGCAAAGCAATTAAAAAGGATTGCAACTTGAAACCACTGATTTGGAAAAGGAAAATTCCACATACAAACCTTCTGGCATTTTTCAACAGACCCTACCAGATTTATTTGTTAAATCCAATCTGACTTAGTCGCTATTGAGTCCATGTGCTGTCCTAACAATGATTTGAACTGATCACTTGATTTCTCAGTGGTTGGGGATTAACATAGCATTCCTTTGTGATTTTTCCTGACACAGGATAAACCACCTTAACATGAACTGTAAAAGCAGTTCACTCTCCCTGTTTGTGCAGAGAATAAATCTTCCTTACTATACAGAGAATGACTCTCTGGCATTGCAGGGGACAACGTTAACACAACCTTCCCTGATTAGACAGGATAAATCAACTTCCTTGACTATACGAAGGATGAAACACTTCTGTCGACACAGGATAACCACATGTACTCCACAGAAATTTATTTTTGTACCAAAAACTCCAATAGATCAAAAACATTTCATTAAATATAAGATTTATTTGGTGATAAACAGGGAACATTCTATACGAATAAAGCACTGAATTGATCTGTAAAAGAACTTCAGCATGAGTTCCGCAAAAAGCAATGTCACGATTTACATTTGCCATCATGGTGATCGTGACCGTCATGGTGACCGTGACTGTCGTGGTGATCGTGACCGTCGTGGCGATCGTGACCGTGGCGGCCATCGTGACCGTGGCGGCCGTGACCATCGTGGCGACCGTGGCAGCCATTGTGACCGTGGCGGCCATCATGACGATCGTGACCGCCGTGGCCATGACCAAGGTGTCCGGCACACTCAGGGTGCCTTGGCAGTTCGGCTGCAGGATTTGGAGGCTCGGGCGCAGGCTTCACTGCAGGCTTTGGCGGCTCGGCCGCAGGCTTCACTGCAGGCTTTGGCGGCTCGGCCGCAGGCTTCACTGCAGGCTTTGGCGGCTCGGCCGCAGGCTTCACTGCAGGCTTTGGCGGCTCGGCCGCAGGCTTCACTGCAGGCTTTGGCGGCTCGGCCGCAGGCTTCACTGCAGGCTTTGGCGGCTCGGCCGCAGGCTTCACTGCAGGCTTTGGCGGCTCGGCCGCAGGCTTCACTGCAGGCTTTGGCGGCTCGGCCGCAGGCTTCACTGCAGGGATATAGATAGTCATCTTTAGTCGGTCCTTTCAGTGGCATTCGGCACAAAACTCAAATCATGAATAGCGAGTGTTTCAGAGTGAATTGTATTTTAAATATTCATCATTCATTTTGTAAAGCTATTCTGTGAAACTGTGCTACGTGTGCTAAATTGCAGTTATTTTTGTCATTGAGTAGGATGACGAGAACAGAATTATAAAAGACACACTGGGGTGGGGAGCTGACCCAAACACTCCATAAACAAGTATAATACAACTACCTGTATATGGAGCCATACACTGACGTCCACATCCATTGCTGCAACATTTCTCATTGTCCGGACAGTCACTGTCATAGTAACACAACTTGGCACAATTTCCTCCTCCAGTTTTGGAGCTTGGACACTCTCCTGGCTTTGCTGTTATGAAGACACGACAGAACACATCACTGAATGCTGAAGGTCTCATTTACAGTTTGAATATAAATATTATATAGCTCAGTCTTTCTACTTCAAAGTTTCATATTTAGTTCAATGCATTACTTGCAGCTTCTTTGCAATTATTTGTGAAGTTCACTAGCAACGTCTGAGTAAAAACTTTCAGTGTTTCTTTTGGGAGACCTCTAGCATCCATCATTAATTGAAACTCACTGAAAACAGGTGGCACACATGCAGGCCCACAGGGAAATTGACAGCATTTATGTCCTCCAGAGCAGTCTCTATCAGAAGTACATCCTCGACTGGATGGCACGACTGTCAGCATCACCGGACACTGACCGGACTCTACAGAAGAGTATTCAAGAGGATTGTTAAAAGGGACCAGGGAGTGTTGTAATGGTTTCAGTATTTATAAGTCAGGGGTTTTGAAATATAGGTCTCAAACTTGAAAATATGCATATCTGCTTACAATCAAGAATAAATTCCATTTAATCACTAAACTGTCAATCAGTTTTAAAGACAAAGTGCTGTTACAACCTACCCCACTACTGGTAAGGTGTGTAATATAAGCACAATGCAGATAGAAGACATGGACAGTTAATGTGTTTCATAAATTTACTATTGCAACTAAATGTACTGTAGCTACATGTTCAAAAGAAGTCATTTTGTAAGGCACTTATTTATGCATTTCTTCAAACTGTGTAATGAAGCTAAAAGACCTTCTCACCTGCGACTTGTGTTGTGCACAAACATGCAGACAGGCACAATAAAACGACACTCAACGAGCAGTACACTCGAGCTGTCATCCTCTCGACCTGTGATGTCACAATGAGCTCTGCTGGAAAACGCGCTGAATTAGTCAGTCAGGAAGGACAGGGAGGAACACAAAACTACAATGCAAACATGTGCTGCTGAATCCCGCAACATAAATCGCTGTATAAAAGTTTTCTGAAAACGCGTTTTTAACGATCCAAGGAGGTCTGGGTAACTCCAACCCTGATCAAACTCACCTGCCTGTAGCTTTCTAGTAGCCTTATCTTGAAGACCTTGATTAGCTTGTTCAGGTGTGTTTGATTAGGTTTGGAGGAGCAGAGCACTTTGTTCACGCCAGATGTCGTAATAACCGTAATTAGTATTAGGCTATGATTAATACCTTGTCCAAATACCCACACTTGCGGTCTTTGCACTTGACCACTTGTCTACTGACGTCTACTTGGCGCAAGTGTTCAAGTAGGCGTGAAGACTACAAGTGTAGAACTTTTGATTACTCGATTGGACACACTTATAGTCTTGCAAAAAATGCAAGTGTTTACAGAGCTTTTATTTATTATATTTTCAATGCTTTGCATTTTTTTTAAAAACGTACACATGTCTGTTCAGTAGTCGGACGTTTCTTCAACTAGGGGCACTTTTAGCTTTGTGAAGTTGAATAAAAAAAAACTTGTTCAAAAGTCACGTAGGCCTAACACAGTCTCATAAGATTAAATAATTTTTCTAGTTTTAAGGTCTGTAAAATGACAAACTTAGATTACAAGAGAAATTATAATTTTTTTCCGATCTGCCATGAACAAATGTCATTTCCACCACATCTCAATATACAGCTGTTATGTAAAAATAGAATAACTTATGCCACTCAAGAATTGTCAAAGATCATTTTTGTAACTAGTTTTCCACTATGTACATTTGTCAATGAGATAAATTAAATGCCATAAGGACCAAATTCTGAACTGTACACTTGTCACACTCTAAAATGTAATATTGGTTTGGGCATAAGCTTATTAGAAAATACTTGAAAATATAGAACTTGAATTTCTATATTAAGTAGAGCATGATCTCATAAATTGTGGATACATTTTTAATGTGTGATGAGAACTTTTTAAATATTTTTAAAAAATGTGTGTTGATGGAAATGACAGGGTGTTGTGGAAATGACATTGAATTAACGTGAACGTATAAAAACAGAAGAGATATTTATTAGGAAAAAAATTTAACTTATCACACTCCTTAAACTCTATTCACAAAGTCATTAAACATAACCACCTGTTCTTAGTGTACTGCTGAGTTTGATGTATAAAACTGATCTGTCTCACAGATGAATGGTTACAATGCATACTTAAATAAAATGCATACATAATCCATCCATTCATACATCTTCTTATTAAGTTCTCAGATCCCGTCAAACGGACTGCTGGTCCTTGTCATAGAAGAAGAAAACGTGGCATTTCTCTGTCTTCTTCTTCCCCCTCTCTTGTTGAAATCCGAAAGCGTTGCCGTCGCCATTCTCCCCTTGGTGTTTCCGGCCGTGAGAGTGCCTTTCTCATGAAACATTATCCGGGAGAAAAATCGGCTTCTATACATGCTTCCTCGTCAAACACCCCGATGATGACTGATGACGTCATACACCTGGATTTCCCTTCAATATTACCAAACCCGATGGCAATCATCTCTGGGGAGACACTGCCCTCTGGCCTTCTGGAGACAAAACCCCCTGGTACTTTTACTCTTTCTGCCAATCTTGCTGTTTTTTTATATAAGGACACTTTTTCTCCACAACTTCTCTTGCTTGGGGACTCAATAGTTAAGGAAATTAGACTCCCAGAAGCCATCACATACTCGCTCAGTGATGGAAAGGTCAGTGATTTTGTCCTTCTTTTACCTAAACTTCTTAATCTTCACCCTTCTGTAAAATCAGTTATTGTACATGCTGGAGCAAATGATGTAATGGACAGGCAGTCAGCAAAACTGTACCAAGACTTTGAGAACCTCTGTATTAAAGCTGATTCCCTTGGTAAACAACTCATCAAATCAGGTCCCATTCCATTGCCCTCTAGGGGATGTGAGTTTTTTAGCCGCCTTTTTGGATTGCACATATGGTTAAAAAAAATTTGTATTGCTGCTGGTTTTAATTTCGTTGGGAATTTTGATTATTTTTGGACTAGATATGATCTGTTTGGAAGCGATGGCCTTCATCCAAATAGAGAAGGAGTCAAAAAATTTACTTTTATCCTTCTAAATTATATAGCCTTTGGTATACATTGACAGTTTTTCCAGCAAGACACTATTTCTATGCCCTCAGATATTTCTCAATCTACAAGTTCTGAAGGTCCTGCTGGAAATGAATATTCCTTCTCTCTCTGTCCATCCATTCAGTTTGTGTCATCTTGTGCTAGTGTCCCAAACAGCCCTATCCCAGTAATAATAAGTGATAGAAGGAATCGATTACATCCAGCCCATGGGGTAAATCCGGCAAATCTTCAAAGAGTAACTATACAAACTCAGATTTCTAAACCAGATCATATCAAGATAGTTAAATTTGCTCTTTTAAATATCAGATCCTTACTTAATAAGTCCTTTTTAATAAATGATCTCATTTGTGCATATAACCTTGATTTCCTATTTCTAACTGAAACCTGGTTAGACTTGGCAAATAATGTGCCTACCCTCATTGAATCAGCCCCTCCTAATTATAATTTTATGAGTGCCATTTGTTCTAACAAAAAAGGAGGTGGAATAGCCACAATTTTTAATTCATCTTTTGAATGCAAACAGTTATCCTCTGGCGAGTTTGTTTCTTTTGAGTATTTGAGCGGAATTATTAAGGGTTCCCCTCAAATTCTACTACTGGTCATCTACAGACCACCTAAGCACTCTCCTAGAGTTTTTCTTGATGAACTGGGTGAACTATTGTCTTTTATTTGTTTAGATTTTGACTGTGTTTTAATTACTGGGGATTTCAATTTGCATGTTGATAATCCAGATAACAACTATGCTAGTGAACTACTTTCACTGTTTAATACATTCAACTTAACTCAACATGTACAGGAAAAAACACACTTCCTTGGTCATACACTTGACCTGGTGATCACAAGGGGTATTGATATTTCTGTGACTGTAAAGGACTTAGCATTGTCTGATCATTTCTGCATTTTCTTTGATGTTTTTATGTCTCCTCATAAGTCTAACACCTCTGTGATGATAGAAAAAAGAATTATTAATGATCATAACAATGCTCTCTTTGAACAAGTTTTTTTCTCTCAATTTTTGAGCCACACATCTAAATCAGTAGATGATTTGATGGATCATTTTAATTCACAAATGTTAGATATTATGGATAATATAGCACCATTCAAACTTAAGAAAGTCAGTAAAAAACAGAAAGCCCCATGGAAGCTTAATTCAGCAGTTAAGCTCTTAAAGAGAGAATGTAGGAAGACAGAAAGACAGTGGCGAAAAACCAAACTCCCAGTACATTACAATTTATATAAGGAAAAGCTTAAAAATGTTAATACTGAAACTGGTAAAGCTAGACAGTTGTTCTTTTCTAACATTATCAATCAAAACATAAATAATGCTCGAGTTCTTTTCTCGACAGTGGAAAAACTGACAATTCCTCCACAAAAACTGCCACCTGAATTCATCTCGACCATAAAATGCAATGAGTGTGCGTTATTTTTTAAATCTAAAATTGATCAAATAAGACTGAATATAATAAATCAAAAGCATTTCACTATGCAACCAGAACAAATAACTACAGGAACATTAAACAGGATGGCTAACTTTAGTTTGATTGATACTGAAATACTTAATAATACAGTACAAAACCTCACCTCTTCCACTTGTACACTAGATATTTTACCTACCACTTTTTTAAAATCTGTTCTTCATACTCTAGCACCAGAACTGCTTAACATCATAAATTCATCCTTACAAATGGGCACATTTCCTAAATCTCTGAAGACTGCTGTTATAAAACCACTTCTCAAAAAGAATAACTTAGACACATTTATATTAAGCAACTATAGGCCGATTTCAAACCTACCGTTCATTGGCAAAATCATTGAAAAGATAGTTTTTAATCAACTGACATCTTTTTTAACACTTAACAACTGCCTTGACAATTTTCAGTCAGGTTTCCGGACCCACCATAGTACAGAAACAGCTCTTGCTAAAGTTACAAGTGACATCCGGTTAAATGTAGATGCAGGCAAGGCATCTATCTTAGTATTATTAGATCTTAGTGCAGCCTTCGACACTGTTGACCATTATATATTGCTTCATCGATTGGAACATTGGGTTGGTTTCACTGGTGTTGTGATTAGCTGGCTAAAATCGTATCTTAGTGATAGGAGTTTTATTGTTAAAATTGGAAATTGTTCCTCAACACTAACATCTTTGTCCTGTGGAGTTCCCCAGGGCTCAATTTTGGGTCCTTTATTATTCAATCTTTACATGCTACCACTTGGTAAACTCATAATGAAAAATTCAATCTTCTACCACAGTTATGCTGATGACACACACATTTATTTACCTCTAATGCCTAATGACTATACCCCCATTGAAACTCTCTGTCAGTGCATTGAAGAAATAGATACTTGGATGTCACAGAACTTTCTCCAGCTTAATAAAAATAAAACTGAGGTTATCGTGTTTGGAAGAAATGAGGAAAAATTTAAAATCTCTACCCTGCTCGAAAAAAAGGGTTTGGAAGCAAAGGAAGTGGTAAGAAACCTTGGTGTCTTAATAGATAATAATCTAAAATTTGATAGTCACATAAAAACAATCACAAAATCAGCATATTTTCATCTTAAGAATATCAATAAACTTAAAAAATGTATGTCTAAGGAGGATCTTGAAAAGATCATACATGCTTTTATTTCTAGTAGGATTGATTATTGTAATGTGCTTTTAACTGGACTCCCCAAAAAGACTTTAAAACCTCTCCAAATGGTACAGAATAGTGCAGCCAGGATCCTTACAAAAACTAAAAGAATAGATCATATAACTCCAATTTTAAAGTCCTTACACTGGCTCCCAATTAGATACAGGATTAATTTTAAGGCACTCTTATTAGTTTTTAAGTCAATAAAGGGGATGGGACCTAAATATCTTCATGATATGTTTCAACAGTATACTCAACCAAGACCCCTTAGATCACAGCATAAACAGCTTCTACTAAAACCCATTGTTAGAACAAAACAA